ACACACTTCTATTGAAGAAAGTTATCTATTGTGTTATTACATGTGATCCTACATGTTTTCCTATAGAATTCTGCAAGTTAAAAATGTAACGGTGAAGGAAATAATTGTTTGGTTTTATATTTACATTGTGTATATAAAACCTTTCCTCTGATAAGCTGCTGTCTCCATATGACTTTGTTCATATGCCTGCAGGTTCAATAACATTGTCCTATGGTATAAAATGCACACAAAATGTATATGGCACAAAATGCACTAAGCACAACACTTAACAGCTTCATCAGTCAAAACTGCTAGCGTAGGATCCTGTGCCATAGTCGATAGCTGAGACCAAGCATTGTTCTTTGCTAAATGATCTACGTGCAGGATCAGGGCTTTAGTTTGTTCATTGCATGTTCCTCTGCTACACGGTGGGATGATGATGATGTGTTTTGGGCAGGGCTGTCAATCACAGTTAACTCATGCAATTAACACAGAAATTAATATGTTAATTTTTTTAATTGCACTAATTGCACACATCCTTTTGACCAGTGGAGCAGACCAGCTCCAGAGCAACTGGAACCTGTGCACACAGCCCCAACTCCAGCCCACTCTGCCTGCTCCAGACACACCCGCCCATGCTGAAAAGCAGCAGCAGCTGGGCAGAAGCTGCAACTTGGCATGAGAGAAAAGCAGCCCCTCCCCGCCACTGCTGCCAGGGTATTCTTGTTGCAGTTATCCAGAGCCCATGCCTAGGCTGCCTTGTGGCTCTTCTCTGCTGCCTCTGGGCCCCACAGCAAGGTGACAGTGCAGAGGACCTGCAGAGCAGCCTGGGTATGGGCTCCAGACAGCTGCAGCAAGAAGGGCCCGGCAGCAGTGAGGGGAAGGCCTGCTTTTCTTCTGTGTTGAGTAGCAGTTTCTGCCTGGCCACTGCCATTGCTCAGTGTGGGCAGGTGAGTCTGTAGCAGGTGCAGGGTGGGGTGGGGTTGGGGCTGTGAGTGCAGGTTCTGGCTGGTTTGCTCCTGCTGGGGCAAGTCTGGAGCAGGCATGGGGTAGACCAGGGCTGTGCACTGTGGGTGGTGGCAGTGAGGAGCCACAGAGTACACGGGGTCTGGGCTGTTGGGTGGGAGGTGCTATCATTTAACTGTTCAGTTTAAAATTGCAATTAATTGCAACTATTTTTTTTAATTTCACAATTAATTGCAATTCTTTTTTAAAATAGTTTGTTAGCCCTAGTTTTTGGGTAACACTTACACACTGAGGGATCTTCCGTACAGGAATACTGCTTTCACTTTTGTGTACAAAGCAATTACAATAATGCAACATGACTGGGGAACTGTTTTATTTCTAGAGAACAAGCATTACTGTAACTCTTTAGTGTTGTTCTTAAAGGAGAAGAATCAGGTTTCACAATTAGTGGCTAGTAGGGCTGTGAGAAGCTTCAGGTGCTGATTCAATTCGGAGGAGATTCGGCCTGATTTGGTGGTCGAATCTCCGAATCTGAATTGAATCAGGAGAACAACTAAAAGGTCCAAATCGATTTGAAGCTTTCTGAATCAATTCGGAAAAGATTCGGAGAGCTTTGGCGATTCAGGCAGTCCCCGCTTGCTGTAGCAGGGAGCTGGACCTGGACTCCATGCTGCTAAGTAGGAGGCAAGGGGGATACCACAGCAGGGCCCCTGCCAGGCCCCATCCCCTGCCTGCTCCCCAAGCCCCCCTGAGTGCCTCCCTGCCCACTCTCCCAGTCCCCCCCCCCCAGCTCCCGGTTCTTTAAAACAGAGCCTCCACTCACTGGCGCCTGCCAGGGGTCGGGGGGAGAGCTGGTGATCCCTGCTGCCCCCCCACTGCCCCATGCCACATGGGGGGGCTTTACCCTGAGCCCACCGGCTCTCCCAGCCCCCCCGCCCAAGGCTGCCCTGCCTGGCCCAGCTCCCAGCTTAAAAAAAACGAAAATAAAAAAAAAAGCCCCCCCACGCTGCTGCTGCAGTGGCCTTGGGGCTTCTGGGGGCTTGTGGTAGAGTCCTCCATGCAGCGCAGGGCAGTGGAGTGCAGTGGGGATCACCCTCTTCCTCCCCACACCCCTGCCTAGCAGCAGCTGGTGTTCCAGGACTTTTTTTTTTTTTTTTTTTTTTT